CATTCTCCTTTTCCTTTCCTTTTGCTCTTTTTTCTCTCTTTCTCTTTGGCCCCTTAGTGCACACGCCATAATAGCTATGGGCTATGAAACCTCTCCCCCGCCCACTTGGAATGCCTTCCTCCCCCCATTATATGTCTTGGGGTGTTGTTTTGTTAGAGGGGTGTGCTTGCTCACATTAGGCTGAAGGGACCAATTTTTTGTTTTACTTTCTTTCTTCCCCCTCTGTTCTTCTTGGTTTCCCACTGTTTTATGTACAAGTTCTACTGTTCCCATTTGGCTTGTATGATTCTACGGTCTTCATATCATTGTTATATATGTTGTTCATTTGTTTATCTTGAAAACTCAATAAAACTTGTTTAAAAAAAAAAAACATAGCAACTAAATGACACTGTTTTATATTAAAGGGATAGAGGACACGTTGTATTTAAACTGTCTTTTATAAGATTCCTTATTTATTTCTTCAGTATGGCAAAGAAGGGTCACACGAGAAATGATAAGAGTCAAGAAACAAATAATGAAGATTCATTATTAAAACATCATTATATGTGGTCAGCAGATATAAGTCAATCCAGCTACTGTTATTGACTTATTTTTGCAGTTCATTGATTGGCTGTTTTGATAGAGCTTTTGAGGCATTTAATGGAGAACCAGTCATGACAGCCCCTGCCCCCAAGGAGCTTATCAGCACTAGTTACATGAACACATACTCCATGGTTATTGAGCCAGCTCACTACAGGAAGTTAGGAGCTCACACTAACAGATAATCGAAGTCTCAAATCAAGTCTCTGATAGTCTTATCAATGTGGGTTCTAATTTATCCAGGTCATGGTTTAGCTAGTGGTAGTTAATCACATTCAACTGGACTTGTTGTTCAATGTTGAAGACGTTCCATAGCTTATCCAAGCCACTTCTTCAGTTTTAATGAGATAGGAACATTCCTCAGCTTTTATATCCACACAGGTCGCACATACAACCTATACCAATCACCATGAAATGTGTCAAGGCAGATGTTGGTTGTCTAAGAACAGGATGGTAGGTGTGAAAGTTGTGGAACCACTCTGTTCTTGGTCTATTATTCCATCCTTGGTGCGTACGTTGGTGTCTATACATCTAGCCACAGGGCTGAAAGTGTGAATTGTTGTCAAATTGCCGGGGTAGAGATGTTAAAATGGCATCATATGTGGAAGACAGATGTTCTTGAAGGCCCTCCCTTGGTCAGGGATGGTTGTTCCAGTTTGACAGGTTGTCTTCCATCCTGTTCTTGAACAATCAATGTGCCTGCCTTGGCACATTCCATGGTGGTTGGATAAGGGGTCTGTGCTACCTGTTGGTGTGGGCACCAGAAGTGGTATGGATAAGCTATGAAATGTCTTCAACATTACCGCACAAGTCCAGTTGAATGTGACCACCTACTACTAGCTTCCATATCCTTGTTAAAGAGAGACATGGCATGCAGATGCTTCGAGAAGTGGAAATGTGCGAAATGATCCCACTCAAGGCTCTCAGCTTCAGCTTCTCTGCCCCGGGGGCCAGATCGCTCTTCAGCTGTAATGTGTCAGAGGGAGGAGCCTGTGCAGAATGTGTTGTGATTAATAAAATGTATTCATGAGATCAGAACTTGGAATGTGGTATCCATCCTTGAATGCATATGCTGTTAGAGAAGTGCCTGCCAGCTTAGAAAATGGATAGAGTGAAGGAGCTGTGTAGCGTGGGAGCAGTGACAGAATCAGTATTAAATATGATAGGCAACAACAAGTGACACTATCTGACAGGTGTTTCTCTCTTAGAATGTTGCCAAAACTCTCATTTGCTTGAAGAGCTCACAATCTAACATCGCTCCCTCCCTCTCCAGGCATCACCGTCGACAAGTTTGGCCTCATCTACTTCGTTGACGGCACCATGATCCGCCGAATCGACCAAAACGGCATCATCTCCACTTTGCTCGGCTCCAACGACCTGACCTCGGCCAGACCCCTGAGCTGCGACTCCGTCATGGACATTTCCCAGGTACGCCCACGTCACAACGTTCCGTTTGGTCTTTAGGTTTAACACAAAGCCAGCCAGATGAACTCGCTCCGGCTCTGCAACGTCTCCCTCCCATACCCCAAACTTTGCAGCAGCCGAAATGTAAGAGGATTTGGGTCGTATCAGATTGCAAATTAGTTGCAGCGGGAGTCATGCTGTGCTTTAAAGAGCTCAGGATCAAAAACAAGTTGGCGTTTGTTTTTGCTTATTAGGATGCAGATAAGTCTGGACCGCGAAGGATATAGTTTAAGGCAAGCTGTTGCCAGTGCTGAAAAGTCTGCTGGTGCTTCAGATCCGGCTGCTGAACGACACGCTGACAATTTAAAAGGCCAGTAAACATAAATTGCCCGTTGATCAAAGCTTTTGAAAGGAAACTGTTTTTCCTTTTTTTTGTGAAGCTGTGCATACAAATGTAATATGCTTAACCCAGTGATGTTCATCATGAAAATATTAGAGGGCCTCAAGTGTGGCCCCCTGATACTTCCAGAGGGCCACACAATAGCAGCTCATTTTCGTGCATTGCAATAAATTGCGTCGAGTTAGGCAGCCCATTAAACAAATGGGCTGTGACGTACCTCAGCACCTGAAAATTTTAGTCCTGCTGTATCTTTTACGCAGGAAAAAAGCCCCATCGTTGTCAGCGGCAGTAAGTATAACCCCCAGCATTGGTATGAGTGGCCACCATAATAACCTCCAGCACTGGTTTCCGTGGCCGCAATAATAACCCCCAGTACTGGTGCCAGTGGATGCAATAATAACCCCCAGCATTGGTGTCAGTGGTTGCAATAGTTACCCCCAGCATTGGTGGTAGTCGCTGCAGTTATAACTCCCAGCATTGTTCTAAGTCACCCCAATAACAACCCCTTGAATTGGTGTCATTATCTGCAATAATAACCCCCAGCATTGGTGTCAGCAATCGGAAAATTAACCCCCAGCATTGCTTTCAGTGACCATGATAATAACTCCCAGCATTGGTGTCAGCAATTGGAATAATAACCCCCAGCATTGCTTTCCGTGACCATGATAATAACCCCCAGCATTGGTGTCAGTCAATTCAATAATAACCCCCAGCATAGTTGTAGTTGCTGCAATTATTAAGCCTGCATTGTTTTAAGTCACCCCAATAACAACCCCTTGAATTGGTGTCGTTATCTGCAATGATAAACCCCCAGCATTGGTGTCAGTCAATTCAATAATAACCCCCAGCATAGTTGTAGTTGCTGCAATTATTAAGCCTGCATTGTTTTAAGTCACCCCAATAATAACCCCTTTCTATTGGTCTCATTATCTGCAATAATAAACCATAGCTTGGTGTCAGGCACTGCAAAAATAACCCCCAGGCATTGGTGTCAGTCACCACAATAATAATCCCCTTCATTGGTGGTCATTGGCAGTGCTTTTAACCCCCACGCATCTCACATACCACATTGGTGGTCAGTGGCAAAGTTATTTAACCCCACTTAGTTTTTACTTACCTGATCACTTGCAGCTGCAGCAATCTCGCCAAAATAACGTCAGGCCGGGACTATACGTTTACTGTGTGACTGTCCTGGCTTCACTTTAGTAACGGGGTGTTAATGCAGAGAGTATCCCAGTAAAGCACTCTACAAACTTCCCAACTGGCGGTGGACCATGCCCAGGACGCGGCGGGCCGCACAGAGAGATGGCTGGCCATGTGTTGGGCACGTGTCAAAAGGGACACTCGGCAAAGGAAGAGGAGGCTTTATACATACCTGTACTACCTCTGCTCCTCCAATCCTCGTCTTCTTGCACAGAATCGGCCTCTTCACATCCAGTGCACTGTGTTGGATGGACAGAAATACTTTGGCAATAAAAACAGCTTCATCTTTGTGCCTGGAGTCCAGCTTTTAACCAGGGTGACCTCCTTGTGTCTATATTTTTAGTGCCGTGCACACTTTATCAAAAACATTTTGCGTGACAGGTGACCTTGTAATATTCCATGACGACCAATAACAGCAGAGATCCTCCATCTTATCACTGATAACTAGAGAGGTTGTGCGGTCAGGTCTCCGAGGTGCTGAGGAGGGGGGTGAAGGTTGTGAAATATTTAACTGGCAGCGATGACAAGAAACAGAGTTTAAAAATTGAACATCCCCCCACCGGTTCAGAGCGGGCCTTGCACAAAGCTGCAGTGTAAGCGTTGCTCTGAAGATTATTGCTGGCTATGGGGCTATGCATTATTGATGAGCAAACCGCACAATGTAATGTTCTGATACTGGAGGGTGCGGTGGGCTGGCAGCCAGGAAAGAGCGAAGACAGAACTAGCCTTAAAAATCTTGACGATATGTGGGCCCCGCAGGCGGCCACCAAGGGAAGGGGCTAGCTAATTATGTTGGGCAATGTCACATTACAGCAGAGGTGACATACGATAGCTTCGGTCTGCGTGGTAACATCCTGTACTGGAATCCTTCAATGACCCCTTTCCTTATCTTATAAAAGAGAACCTGTCACCTTTAAACTGGAATTTCAGAAGTATTAGAAAACAGAATAATTCTTCAGAAAGAGGACCTGCTTAAATTCGTAAATGCAACCAAACTTTTTTTTTGGCAAGTGTCATGGAGTTCAGTAGATCCTCTGTATTGCCAGGGGCAACACCCGGCAATAGATGCCAGAGCAGTACTAGCCTTAGACAGATGGTCAATGCTAACAGAGGATAGTAGGAGTGTCCGCAGGCTAATGGCCAGGCCAAGATGTAGTATATCCCATCGCACCCCTGACCTGATCAAGCCCACATAGAAAGTTGGGGGGGGGGGGGGGTGGAAGGGTCTCGAGATGGCCCCGTGCTGGAAGTGACTGCAGATGCCTCCGCACATCAAACGTACCAAGCCAAAAAGTGACTCGCACTCCGTTGCAAATAACAGTCAATCTCCTTTATTGACCATCGTGATGTCACATAAATAAACGATGTTTCGGAACCGGGTGGTCCCTTCTTTAAGCAAACAAAAAGCATGATGAAGCGTGGCCAGGCACAGACAGAGTCCGGGTTTCAGACAGCAAGCCAGAGCGCAGAGGACCATTAGCAGAGGTAACAGGCCCATTATTAAAATAGACAGATTGAGTACAAACCCAATCAACTTGGAAAATCCAAGGCATATACAGTGATATAGAAGACAGACCTCTATCCAGGACATGAATGAGTAGACAAGGAAGGGAATTGATCAAAACTGGAACAGACAAAATATGGAGCAGTTGTGCATGGCAACCAATCAGCCTCGCTTTTTCATTTTCAAATCTAACAAAACTGAAGAGAGAAGCTGATTGGTTGCCATGCACAGCTGCTCCAGGTGATGTCTACTCCAGTTTTGATCAATTCCCGCCAGAGTTCTTAATTCGACACAGGCTTAAACTTGTGGATTTGCTTTACAGTCCACAAATGAGGCCAGGTGTGCACAGCAGAGATCTGAGCAGCAGTGTTCAGTAAAGGTGCCCACACACCTTGCGATAATCGTACGATAATCGCAGGAAATCCCGCGATCGTAAGATTATCGTAATTGTGTGGAAGCCGTGCGACCTCTATTACTGTAAGGTCGCACGACTTTTATCTTACGAACATGTTCGAAAACCCGCCGAGAATCGTACGATGTTTGGCGGGTGTGTAGCATGTTCGTAAGATAAGATCCGGACGGGCCGGTGTGCGCAAGTGCACACTGCCCGTTCAGCATTGCGGTCATCGGAAGCCCGCCCCTCAGATCGTACGTTTTTTTAAATTACCTTACAACCATCGCAAGACTTTTGTCTTGCGATGGTTGTAAGGTGTGTCCCCAGCATTGCAATGGCATTATTGAAGGCTGACTGTTAAATACAGGCAGTCCAGAGACTGATATCATACCATCCGTGGGGTGTATGACCTGCTGTGCAACTGCAAGTCTTAGTAAGCCCCGCCTCTGCAGAGCCCCAGGCTGATTACATAAAGCTGGCAAGCCTAGCTGTAAGTATTCAGGGAATCGTAGTACCACAGAATGAGAACTGAAAATGTTTCATACCTATGTAACAAGGTATGATTACAGTTGTAGTTCGCCAGGATGTATAGTCAGAGGAGCTTGGCAGTGACTGACATACTAATCTAAGCGGCAATGTGGGTTGTTATTGTTTTTTTTTGCTTTGATTAAAGAAAATAAACAAGTAGATTAAAAAAATGAAAGAGATGAAATTAGACTGGAGTGGAGCTAATTTTATTTAATGCAGTCTGTAAATGTTTGCGTTGCGCAATATAAACATTAATGTAGCAGAAACACGGTAATTATCTAAAAGGAAAGTATTGCCTCTGAGTAATCACTACCGGCTTGAAAAAATAAATTGGCGTGCGTCTATTTAAAGATGAAACGCAAAGTTTACTAATCCGTTTCCTGCTACACTAAAGTTTGTAATCCAAGGGGAGAGGACGAGTATTCGTAGGGCGCAGGCGCCTCACGCGGAGTGGCGGCAGCCATCTTGTAAGCTGCTGCGACATTCTTCTTTTCTTTAACAAGCTGCAAAATGGCTTCCACTTCTGCTAAAAGGGAGTCCTCCCTCTGGGGTTTCCTAAAGCTGAACTCGCATATATACATTTGGAATATCTGTATGTGTGATGACTCGCTTGCCAAATAATTTGTAATGCTGGTCCTATGACTCCAGTACCCCTGCCTAGCAGTAGGGCCAAGCCCTTGGCCCAGTGTCGAGACAGAGTTCTCCAGCATCCAAGGTGGAAAGATCAAAGCCCCCCCCCCCCCCACTTTTTCATGCCCCACCACCACCTTCCTGCTTGGGCGCCACCTCTTCTGCCCCCAATTAGCCCTTTTTCAGGCTACGCTGCAGGTACAGGAGATAGCCTAGTTCAGGGTCTGTCCAAGCCAAGTGACTGCACTCTAAAGGAGCAGCAGCTCAGCAATGGGAGAACACACAAAAGAAGCACCGCTCCTCCATGGCTCAGGAAAGGAATGAGCTGGGTGCTTGCCACTGGGAACACGTCCTCTCTCCAGTATGAGCCCATACAAACAGAAGAAAAGCTGGCTGGCATAGTGTATTGAAGCTTGTACCACATCAGCCTACCCTGGTCCAGCCTCATCTTTCACGGGCAGGGCCCTCCTAACCATCCTTTCTTGACTTGTCTTGTAATTGTAATGTCCTCCTTATATTGTAAAGTGCTGCGCAAACTGTTGGCACGATATACATCCTGTATGATAATAATTATATCTATTACTTAGCCCATGATTGGGTGAAACTCTTCAAAGGGGATTGACCTTCCGTGGGACACCAGTGAGGTGGTAGAATTTTTAATAAACTCTCCCAGCGGAATCCGGTGTGTGGACAGCTTTTCTTCTGTTTGTATGAGCTCACCAATAGGGTCTCCCCTATGATTCCCTCTCCTATCAGCAATATTTCCTTTATTAGCTCGTGGTACTGCCACTCCGGTGTAAGTGTTGCCTTGTGGGAGATGACAAAAAAACATATTAGGCCAATTCAGGTACCAGAGCTAGTGCTGTGTAAAATGCAACAGTTAAATGGAATATCTGTCTAGACTTTAGATTGAGATCCATTTTGGATTTAAAATGACTACATACAATAAACTAGTTACAATTTGTGTTCTTTTAGATCTTAAGGTTGTGTTTTGCCACTCCCCCTTCTGAGCATATCATAGCCAGGTAGACCTTAAAACCTGAGCTTTGCCCATTCAGACTTTGCAAAGCAACAGGTACACCTTAATGCCCCCCTCCCTAGCAGAACATGCAAACATTTCCCTTACTCCCCCACCACTCTGTTCTCCATTGCGGTTGAGGAAAGAAAGCTCTATATATGTTTTAAGTCATTCTAGTTTAAGCTGATGCAAGCCTAAGCAGTCTCTTTTTGTTGCCCCCATGTCCAATCAACCAAGCACCAGCACTGTCATGTTAGAGGAAGGGGAGTGAGTGACGTGCTCCAACACACATTGGAGGCGCCGTGCTTTTGTTGAATGTTGAGTATGTGACTTGAGCTGCTGGGTTAAGCTTGCCACATACCATGGTCCATCAGATAAAGAGCACATGTCACTTGATCCATCAAAATCTAGCCAGCCTTTTAGATGAACTGGCATTCCTTTTTAAACCACGGGTTTCTGTATTTGGTGATTAAGAGATGCATTCTTAGATGAGTATTTGGTTCTCGCATATATTACTGTCCTGTAATAATTCTGCATTTTCTGAATTGTTTCTCTGCATCTTTGGATTTTATTTCTAGGTCCGACTTGAATGGCCTACGGACTTGGCTGTAAACCCAATGGACAACTCTCTCTACGTTCTCGACAACAATGTAGTGTTGCAGATCTCTGAAAATCACCAGGTCCGTATCGTGGCTGGAAGACCTATGCACTGCCAGGTTCCTGGCATTGACCACTTCCTCCTTAGCAAAGTAGCAGTCCACGCCACCTTGGAGGCAGCCACAGCCCTGGCTGTATCTCATAATGGAATCCTGTACATTTCCGAAACTGATGAAAAGAAGATCAACAGAATTAGGCAGGTCAGCACCAGCGGGGAAATCTCATTGGTGGCGGGTGCGCCAAGCGGCTGCGATTGCAAAAATGATGCCAGCTGCGAGTGCTTTTCTGGAGATGATGGTTACGCCAAGGATGCCAAGCTAAACGCTCCCTCATCTCTAGCCGTATGTGCTGATGGTGACTTGTACGTGGCCGACCTTGGAAATATCAGGATCCGGTTTATCCGAACCAACAAGCCATTCCTCAACAGTCAGAACATGTACGAGGTGTCTTCTCCCATTGACCAGGAGCTGTATCTTTTTGACACAACTGGGCGGCACCTTTACACCCAAAGCCTTACCACTGGTGACTTTCTCTACAACTTCACCTACACTGCAGATGGGGATCTGACTCTGATTACAGACAACAATGGAAATACCCTCAACATACGCAGAGATTCCACCGGGATGCCCCTCTGGCTTGTCGTGCCTGATGGTCAAGTCTTTTGGTTGACAATGGGCACAAACAGCGCTCTCAAAAGTTTCTCAGAACAGGGTAATGAGCTGGCCTCAATGACCTACCATGGAAACTCCGGTCTCCTCGCTACGAAGAGCAACGAGAATGGATGGACGACCTTCTATGAGTAAGTAATCAAACTCTTGTGCCTTCTGCTTGTCAATTATCGTTTTCACTCTTTCGTTTCCTTTTTCTTGTTTTGATCTTTTTTTTTCTCTTTCTTTATATCTTTTTCTTTTTTTTACCTTTTTTTTCACGTTCTTCTTATTTACTTTTGTCTTGCTTTCTGGTCTCTTTCTTTTTATCTGTTTTTTTTTCTTTGGGTTTTTTCCTCCTTTTTTTTTTCTTTCACTCTTTCTCTAGTTTTTATCCTTCATTTCTTCTATCTTTTTCTCTTTTTCTTTCAACCTTTTTCTATTAAAATGGAACTATGGGCAAAATGTTTTCAAAAAATGACATTTATAATGCAGTCTGTCAGTAGAATCAACACAGCAGTCTTTGTTTTTCTGATTCCCCCCTCTAACATCATTTCATTACTGATCCTGTCAGTAGGTCTGTTGTTTTTCAACTTCCTTTAGCAGACCAAGCAGTCCAGCAAAAATGGAAGATATAGGGTTGAGACAAACCATTTTACAGGGACAGGGGGCTTTTTTTTATCATTTACAACCGTTATCCCAAAAGGAAGCAAGGAATGTTTCTGTAACGGCCTAAAAAGTGTTATTTATTAATTACAGATATTTATATAGCGCCAACAATTTACGCAACGCTTTACATTCCCATCAGTCCCTGCCCTCGAGGAGCTTACAATCTAAGGTCCCTATCTCACATGCACACATACAGGGCCAATTTAGAGAGGAGCCAAATAACCTTCCAGCATGTCTTTGGAGTGTGGGAGGAAAATAGTGTCCTTACCGGGATTTGAACCAGGGACCCTCAGTGCTGCAAGGCAGAAGTGCCAACCACAAACCTGCCCTAGCTGGATTTCAGATTTCACTTGTTGGTAACCTATGTAAAGTTCATCTAGTCTACTAGTCCAACAGTGCCCCTTTCCACAGGTTAACAATGCTGCTGCTTAAGGGTGGCTATGCTGCTCCTCCATAGCTACAGTGGAGGAGTGTCGCCACCCTAAGACAGGAAGTGTGTTACTGACCCAAGTGAAAAAGAGGAAAACACCTTAAACTAATGCAACCATTACATCTAAGTATTCATAAGCTGCAATAGATTACATTTGTGTTTTAGATGAGACAAGAACACTAGAATGATATCTGCAGTCTCTCCTACCTGCAGCTCTGCCAGCGTCACCCTCAGGGCCGGATTTCCCAAATGGCCAACCGAGGCCCGGCCTTGGTGCAGCAGGGAGTAGAGGGGCAGCAGTGGTGTGGAATTCCTATCTCCCGGGACATGTAGTTCCAGGCGCTGGGCGGGTATTTGTTTTCTACATTTAGCCCTGCTTTGGGCAAGCAGGGCTAAATGTACAGCGGGGAACCCGCCACTTGTTTTGTACAAGTGATCTCGGCGATGTCGCCGAGATCACTTGTATGCAGCCTGCATACAGGGGAGGGCGCATTAAGGAATCTGGCATTGGGGCAGCATAGAGAGTAAATCCGTTCCTGGTCACCCTATGCACTAATGTTGGGTAAAGCAGGCGGCTTTCAGAGAGCCAGTCACAGAACCTCTTTAAAGGGACTCTATAGTATAACGACATAGGCTGGTCAGCTGCACAAACACAGATCATTTTCACCAGCAGTCAATGGCCATCCAATTGCTTGAAAATAGTAGTATTTTCCTTTTTGTTAACATTCGATACTTATAGTTTCCAAGCTCCCATGAATAATGTAGGAATCTTTCCAAACGCATTCAAAGTCGGCTTCACCCAACAGTACATCAGGATGGATTTTTTACCGCCGAAGATTATTGTACGTTAGTTGTGGGAGAAAACATTTTCCCTTCGTTCTACTTATAAGCTAAAAGCGTGTCAGTGTAAATTATTGACCGGCTCCGAAAGACGCTGCCAATTGTGTATGTAAATTGTATTAAATTGGCTATGAACACGAAAGGGTCAGATTTTTCCTTTTGAGTTTCCACTGTGAAGGCGGCTGATGGACAGCCTTGAAAGAAAGAAATTACATTCATAGGGTGGTTGGTTTGGGAAGGGGGGGGGGGGGGGGGCTACTTATACTGCTTTTTTACCGCTCACATAAAAGCAGAGACATTTTATTTTTATTTTATACATAAAAATGAAATTTTGCCAAATGAGGAGGGAGAGATCCTATTGTGGACACGGCTGTAAAAGCCTGTAAAGGGAAACAAAAAACAGATTTTATGACGCCGACAATGCTTTCATAGATAGCCATGCAGATTTTATGCTCATGTATACGGGACATCTGTAAATGTATCGCATCCACCTCCTGCAATTTTATAGATGTTGGCTGTGCACTCTTTAAAAAGGCCATCAGATGTTGCATTGCGAACGGCGGCAATGAGGCATCTGCCCACCCCGAATCCATTACAGTGTTAAAGCTGAACTCCAGAAGATATACACTATATTGCCAAACTTATTGGGACTCTTTACACGCACATGAACTTTAATGGTATCCCAGTCTCCGTCCGTAGGGTTGAGTATTGGGTTGGCTCCGCCCTTTGCCGCTATAACAGCTTCAACTCTTCTGGGAAGGCGTCCACAAGGTTTAGGAGTGTGTCTATGGGAATGTTGGACCATTTGTGAGGTCAGGTACTGATGTTGGAGGAGAAGGCCGGGCTCACAGTCTCGGCTCTAATTCATCCCAAGGTGTTCTATCTGGTTGAGGTCAGGACTCTCTGCAGGCCAGTCAAGTTCCTCCCCCCCAAACTCGCTCACCCATGTCTTTATGGACGTTGCTTTGTGCACTGGTGTGCAGTCATGTTGAAATAGGAAGAGGTCATCCCCAAACTGTTCCCACAAAGTTGGGAGCATGAAATACCTTGATACTTTTGGCAATATAGTGCAAAAGACAAAACGTAATATAGATGTGCGTTGATTAATTATTAATGAATCAATAAATTTATTTTTAATGAAGCCAGTGTAAGAATCTGAGTTTGAGCTGTTATCAGCCCGTTGCCACCCTCTGCCCTGCAGCACTTAGACTAGGAGAAGCAGAGGCTGAATGGCTGTATGGTTGTTGGAGGCAACAGACAGTTCCTTTAACTTTCCTGGAGGAAGTTATTGAATTATAACCATTTCCAGCCTGGCTGAAGCCTGCACTCGGAATTCTGTCGGTTAATCCATCTTTCAGCAAAGGCTTATAGATACTTCGAAGCCTGTGTGCACTGCTGCAATACCAGAGCATCGAGCCATGACATTCCTTGCTGACTGTCTCTCCATAATTTATGATATGCTTAATAGCATTGCAAATTAAGCCTGGCAACGTTTAATGGGCATACAGTGTCGGGAGACCAGTGGTGAACATTACATGGCCGTGCTGGAGCACAGGCAAATCAACAATGGGGGCGATTGTAATAGTCATATGGACGTTAGTGTGCAGCAGCCAAATCGAGTAATGTTTAGTTCATAAATTTCACTGTACGTTTTTCCATCTCGTATTCCGACTCCTCTTCCGTTGCTTTTTTAAAGTTGCTGTTCAAACTTTGGACGGCCTTCAAGACTGCAGAGGTGTATTTTGTGAGCAAAACCCGTCACAGGGCCCTTCACACCCAGGGCACATGATAAGCTGAATAAGGGCCTTGCTTCACTAATGACCCTAACGTTTGAGATCCTATCATCTCCTTCTATGCCATCACTCCTTGGTTGCTCACTTTCTAGAGGGCGAGGTTCTGCAGATATTCAGATATCTCAATTCCGAGTTTTGAAAGCTAGTAGGATAACCAGGAAAACGTCTTCAAGAAAAATACAGCAAGTCCAGTTGCTTGGATTTATTTTTTATAGATATGCTATGACCTGGATGAATGAGAACCTTCACACAAGGCTCTGCAGAGTTTTGGCCGGTGTGGGGCTGTGCCTTGGCATTTACTGTTGCGTTAAGCACGGGACACAAAATGGCCAACACTAGTCGTCTAGTCTTCTCATTATGCTCGTCTTTAGTAAAGTATGCACTAACTTTGCTTCCCTTCCACTAATGTCTCTTGTTTTTCAGGTATGATACCTTTGGGCGTCTGACCAATGTAACGTTCCCCACGGGTCAAGTCAGTAGCTTCCGCAGCGACACAGACAGCTCAGTCCACGTTCAAGTGGAGACATCCAACAAGGAAGATGTTACCATAACCACCAACCTGTCTGCTTCCGGGGCCTTCTACACCCTTCTGCAAGGTGGATTGTGTCTTACTTATTCCTTTACATTGTGTGTCATGTAATTTATGTTCTGTGTGTTATTTTTTTGGCATAGGATTGAGGTGATTTGCTAACTCTGTGTATTACCTTCCTCAGATCAAGTACGCAATAGTTATTACATTGGCGCCGATGGCTCTCTTCGGCTTATTTTGGCAAACGGAATGGAGGTCACCCTTCAGACGGAGCCACACTTGCTGGCGGGCACGGTGAACCCCACTGTGGGCAAGCGTAATGTCACCTTGCCGATAGACAATGGGCTCAACTTGGTGGAATGGCGCCAGCGGAAAGAACAAGCCCGGGGACAGGTCACTGTTTTTGGACGTCGGCTGAGGGTATGCTATTTTTTTTTTTTTGTTATTACGTTTTCAAAAGTTGCCCATACATTTTTCCCTCTCAGTGATGGTTCCTTGCTAGCTGTGGCTTCTCGGTGGTGAAAGTTGATCCATTCAGAATGGTTGCAATGTCTCTTTTGCTGGCTATTCTTTAGTGTGGTCGGTCAGTGGCACATATTTGTTTCTTGGATAGTGTTAGAAGGTTGAGAACTGGTTTCACTCATTACATGGAGTTTCTCTGTAAAATGCTAGTTCACTGGCCTGTCTCTGGCTTCACTACTTTCGGGACAGGCAGCAAGTGACATCACAACTCCATGATCTGCATTGTTCTGAGAAAGTGGCCAAGCATTGAGTGGACTGGATAAACATGTCAGCTTGGTAGCTAACATTTTTAGAAAATAACAAAAGCAATGGAAGACTCAAATCTCAAAGGCAAATGATTATCATATTTAAAAAGGGAAGTGATCATGTCTGCTGATAGCCTGAGTAGAAAAGCCTGTCCCCTTCCAGCATGCTCCAGAGGAGGACCCTTGGTCTATGCAGAAGCAGTGGTCTCTTTGCCAAACATGCCCCCTGCTAAGTCAGACCTAGATCTCCAGTCAGCAGGAAGTATGAGATTTGATTGATACAGAGTTATAGGTCTGACTCAGTAGGGCGTGTGTCAAACCTCTGGTCTTATTCCCCGAGGAACATATCAATACACAGGTGACCGCCACTTCTCTGTGTTGCTACATGAAAAGGCCTCTTGGAAGGCTGGACCTGAGGTGGTCAAAACAGGATAAAGGTTTGTCACCAGTTGGGGAATTCTAGGACCTTGGAGACTTTTCTAGTAGCCATGAATGTGTGCTTTACCATAATAAACAATCATTTTAAAAAGGCACATTGACCTTAAATCCAGCCTTTGCGCCCACCTACAATTTGTATAGCGGATAGCATCTTTGGAGCACTGTCTCATCCTTAGCAGGCTATAGACTCATGAAGTGACTGGTTTTACCATCTTTACATTTAAACATATTGGTAGAAACACCTTGGAGAGCATATTTAAAGTTCCTCCGTCTGTCTATGCTGATTCAGCAACCGCTTGGCTTCAGCGTATAATGAGGTGAATACCGGTCCCAGGAGTGATAGCACACATGATAATTGATCATAAAACCGTTCAGAGGGCCTGGTTAATCTCATCGACACTTCTGGCAACAGGCCCGCCTCCTCACGCCCAACGGTGTGAATAATGAGGTGATGTAATGCTATTATAGCTCCACTCCTAGGAATGAACTGCCAGTGATGTCGGATTTCTGAAGCCTCTTTGTTGCTTTATAAGGCGCAGATCAAGTGTGCGTTTTATGTATGCCTAATTACTAAAACAAATCTTAAAACAAAATGTCAGAATGATAGTCTATTATCTACACGCACTGGAGGTGCTGCTTGTGAAGGCTGAAGAAGTATTCATGAGAACGCATTATTAGGAACCAAAAATGGTACTAAGGTAGTTAAAGAGGGCAGCACTGAGAATGTAGAGTATGTTTGTTAAAGAGCCAAGGACATGTCCAAGGATTCTGGACAGTTGGCTATTTAGTGAGCAGTGATGATCTGCTGTGGCCATGTCAGTGGGTACCCTAGTAGCATGGCGGGTAATAAATGATCTCTGTAGCTCTAGTTCTTAGGTCTGGATGAGCATCTTCAAGGTGATCTGCATGGAGTATTTGTATGCTTGCATCACTTCATTCAGGATTTTCTAGTTTCCTCCCACAGTCCAAAAACTTGCAAACCAATTCTTTATCTACGCCCAGTAATACAACAGGTTGCTTTAATGTCCCCTTCCCAGCAGCGCATACTCACCGTTCCTTCATTCTAACGCCTATTGGCTGCTGGGATTGAAAGAAATACCTTTGTAATATCCCCTTCGCACACCGTGCCGATGTACCCCAAATCCAACAGGTGCTGGAACAACTGGTGGATGGCGCCACAATGTACAATCTAGAAGATATGTTGCCTGCACACCATTTTGCTTCGGGATGTCCTTTTATTCGTATTCCATTAGGGTGACGTGTGAATGCAACGTTTCGTAGCCTCACAGGACCCCTACGTCAAGCAAAGTGTGAGGGGTTAATTGAGCTCAGGTGTCTCTCATTGAGCAGGTGTATTATAAACTATAGAAATCGCCCCGCCTTTCTCCATACTGTCATAGTTACATAGTTACATAGTTACATAGTATTTGAGGTTGAATAAAGACATAAGTCCATCAAGTCCAACCTATTAGGATCTCATTCTAGGAGTACCTGTACCCCTGTATATTACGGTCCCTTAAGAAATCGTCCAAAAGTTTCTTGAACAATTCCACATTATTTGCTGAAATCGACCACATCTGGAGTACGCGGTCCAGTTCTGGTCACCAGTACTAAGAAAAGATGTCCTTGAGTTGGAAAAAGTCCAGCGAAGGGCAACCAAACTAATTAGGGGTATGGAGGACCAGAGCTACGAGACGAGGCTACTAAATTTAAACATGTTCACATTAGAGGTGAGGAGATTAAGGGGGGATATGATTTCCATGTACAAAATGTTTAATGGTGATAGCAACATTAGCGATAAACTGTTTAAAATTAACTCCATTACAAAAACTAGAGGCCATCACCTAAAATTGATGGAAAAAAAATTCCAGCACAAGGGGCGAAGGGGGTTCTTCACAGTAAGATCAGTTAGGGTCTGGAACTCACTGCCACAGGCGGTGATTTCAGCAAATAATGTGGAATTGTTCAAGAAACTTTTGGACGATTTCTTAAGGGACCGTAATATAAAGGGGTACAGGTACTCCTAGAATGAGATCCTAATAGGTTGGACTTGATGGACTTATGTCTTTATTCAACCTCAAATACTATGTAACTATGTAACTATGACAGTATGGAGAAAGGTTGGAACCTTTTTGGGGGTTTTACTGCTGTCCGAATTCTCATTGAGGACATTTTCTTTCACTTCCTGTCCTGATTGGAATGTTGTCACCAGGACAGAAGTGGGGGGAGAATGTCCATTTGGAACAGCAATGAAAAGCTGAATTCTCATTGAGGAAATTTTCTTTCACTTCCTGTTCTGATTGGAATGTTGTCACCATGACAGGAGTGGGGGGAGAATGTCCATTTGGGACAGCAATGAAAAGCCGATCAAAAGCTGAATTATCATTGAGGACATTTTCTTTCACTTCCTGTTCTGATTGGGATGTTGTCACCATGACAGAAGTGGGGGAGAATATCCATTTGGGACAGCAATGAAAAGCTGATATGGATTCCAGTCTTATCCTTAGATTACTACTAAGCATGTTTTTAATCCTGTGTGTACCTCTGTTGCTGATTTCCCTCAGTTTCTGTCTTGAGGTTGCACCTGGACATGAAGTAAAGTCCCAATGGGACTGCAGAGACCAGTAAAAACTGCCTGAGTTTGTTTTCCTGTCCTCAGTCTATCCAAAATGGTTAAAAAAAAAAAGTTGGCTTGAGATGCAGTTGTTACCGGTGGTGTTAGGCTCATAACTCATTTCAGCTATCCTTTCCAACAGGTGCACAACCGAAACTTGCTCTCTCTGGATTTCGACCGTGTTACCAGGACAGAAAAAATTAATGACGACCACAGAAAGTTCACCCTGAGGATCCTGTATGATCAAGCAGGAAGGCCCAGCCTCTGGTCTCCATCCAACGGGCTGAATGGAGTAAATGTGACTTACTCCCCAGGGGGACACGTGGCAGGGATCCAGAGAGGGACCATGTCTGAGAGGATGGAGTATGACCAGTCTGGAAGAATTATATCGCGGACATTCGCTGATGGAAAATCATGGACGTACACATATTTAGAAAAGGTGCAGACCACTTCTAATATGTCCATCAATGTTCAATGTAAAATACATTATTATTATAGAGGATTTATATAGCGCCAACAGTTTGCTCAGCGCTTTGCAATATAAGGAAGACATTACAATTACAATACAATTCAAGACAAGATGGTAAGGAGGGCCCTTCCGCTGAGGGCTTACAATCTAAAAGGGAGGGGCCAGTGATACATGAGGAGGTAGCTGTATGGGGACGAATTGTATGAGACGTGATAGTTCAGTGGTTAGGTTGAGGTGGGATAGGCTTCCCTGAAGAGATGAGTCTTTATGGATCGCCTAAAGGTAGTCAAGGTGGGAGATAATACATTCACACAGTGTTCTGCAATAATAACCTTTATCCCATATTTCCAGCAATGAGGGTTGCCATTTTAGATGTGTTGAGGGACACCTTTGGAAATGCAGAATAATCTCAGTTGTATGTGAATTGAGAGTAAACAGTTAGGCTTTTCATAATACAAATGATCAATGAACATGGCTTTGCTACATAGTTACATATAGCATATTTGACTACATCCCTGATGCAAGTCATGCACATAAATAAACTTGTTATAGATGTCACCAGCACACCTTATTTAAGTGAAGAACACGTCTGTTTATTGACGCCTCATGTCAAAACAAATAGCAACGTTTCGAGGTCACACAGGGTCCCCTTCATCAGGCTTGAAATTGCGTCAATGGTCATTGCAAACCTAATGAAGGGGACCCTGTGTGGCCCCGAAACGTTATTTGTTTTGACATGAAGCGTCAATAAACAGACGTGTTCTTCACTTCAATATGGTGTGCTGGTGACATCTATAACAAGTTTCAGTATTGGCGGCGCTATCCGCTGTCATTTCAAACACCCACGCTGACAGGGATACCTGGTAAGGATTGTAACAGGATTCTGGAACACATGCACATAAATAACACACACGACAGCCTGATGTAACTCAGGACCACTTATGGTACTACCACAGGATGGGTTTGCAGTCACCCTGGTTTTGCAGGGACAGGTGGGACTCTAACTGCTAGGATAGAGAGCACGTGGGCTCCGCACATGATTCCTGTGCTTGTAGAGCCTTGTGATGATGAGCTCACAAAAACATCTAGCCTGAGATGTAGACAAATATAAGTTTGCAGACTCAATGTGATGACTTCATCCTGCATGTGGGCCTAGAAAATACTAAATACACATCTGCTAAAAACAATTGAGCTCTCCTTTTACTTATGAAGTCTAGAAAAATTGCAGTTTGATTGATGAAAGCAACAAATGTACACTAGATCTCATCAAACTTTGTGTTTTCTTCTTCCTTAGTCCATGGTGTTACTCCTTCACAGCCAGAGACAGTACATCTTTGAGTTTGATAAAAACAACCGCCTGTCTTCCGTTACTATGCCCAATGTGGCCAGACAGACCTTAGAAACCATCCGATCCATTGGATACTACAGAAACATCTACCGGCCTCCAGAGGGCAATGCCTCCGTACTGCAAGACTTTTCGGAAGAAGGGCACCTCCTGCAAACATTGTACATGGGAACTGGGAGACGCGTCATATATAAATACGGCAAACTATCGAAACTTGCTGAGATTCTCTATGACACCACCAAAATCGCTTTCACGTACGACGAATCAGCCGGCATGCTAAAAACGGTCAACTTGCAGAACGATGGCTTCACGTGCACCATCCGTTACCGGCAGATCGGACCGCTGATCGATAGACAAATATTCCGTTTTACAGAGGAAGGCATGGTCAATGCCAGATTCGATTACAATTACGACAATAGCTTTCGAGTCACCAGCATGCAGGCCGTTATCAATGAGACACCTTTGCCGATCGACCTGTACAGGTATGACGACGTCTCGGGCAAGACTGAACAATTTGGAAAATTCGGAGTCATCTACTACAACATCAACCAGATCATAACCACAGCGGTCATGACGCACACTAAGCAGTTCGACACCTATGGACGAGTGCGGGAATTACAATATGAGATCTTCAGGTCCATGATGTTTTGGATGCTGCTGCAGTATGACAACATGGGCCGGGTGGTGAAGAAGGAGTTGAAAGTTGGACCCTACGCCAACTCCACGCGTTACACTTACGAGTATGACAATGATGGGCAGCTGCAAACCGTTTTCGTCAATGACAAACAGCAATGGAGGTATAACTATGACTTGAATGGAAATTTGCACTTGCTGAATCCGGGGAACAACATTCGCCTCATGCCGCTACGATATGATCTGAGGGATCGAATAACCAGATTGGGTGATGTTCAGTATCGGATGGATGAGGACGGCTTCCTTAAGCAAAGGGGAAGTGATATTTTCGAGTTCAACTCTGCTGGTCTTCTTGTTAAAGCTTATAGTAAAGCCAGCGGTTGGAGTGTGCGGTATAGATATGATGGCCTTGCAAGGAGAATTTCAAGAAAAACCAACAATGGTCACCACTTACAATTCTTTTATGCTGACCTTGCAAACCCCACTAGGATCACACACTTCTACAACCATTCAAGCTCTGAGATTGCCTCCCTATATTATGACCTTCAGGGCCATCTCTTTGCCATGGAGTTAAGCAGCGGGGATGAGTTCTACATTGCCTGCGACAACATTGGGACGCCTATGGCAGTTTTCACCGGCTCCGGGCTTATGATCAAGCAGATTTTATATACTGCCTATGGTGAAATCTACCATGACTCCAACCCTAACTTTCAGCTCATTATAGGCTACCACGGTGGCCTCTACGACCCTCAAACTAAGCTTATCAATATGGGTCGCCGTGAGTATGACGTGCTAGCTGGCCGATGGACAAGTCCTGACCATGACATCTGGAAGCAGCTGAGCACCACCAACATCATGCCTTTCAACCTTTATATGTTCAAAAACAACAACCCAGTAAGCCGACCACAAGACACCAAGTGCTATATGACAGGTAAGGCTAATGTAAAAACATAACCCATGTTCTTTCTTGAAGGATAGGGTTAGATGTTGAACCCTTGAATACTCTTCTCAAAATTAGTCTTGTGTGAAACTTAAGTGGCCATTTTTCTCCAATCTCCTTCCATTGTGTATCTCTTTTATCACTGGTCTAGCGTGCGTTATGGCAATGACGCCCATTATTGTGTTGACGACACAGCTGGTTGTGATGGTCTATAATTACTGTCATTCTCGGGCTTTATCGTGTATAACTCAGAAGTGTGAGGTGACAAAGGTCTAATTGATGTGTTTCTCAGAACTGTACCATGTTACTGGCTTGACCTGGTAGGGAAAGAATCTTAATCACCCATTGTGGCTCACTTGTTGCTTGGAAAGGCAACACTTTTATCTTATGAAGGTAAAGGTGTATTGTGAAGATGCATGTGAGATAGAGAGATGGAGAGATAGATGGAGAGATAGATGGAGAAAGGGAGAGAGAGATGGAGGGTGTGAGAGTGAGAGGGAGGAAGAGATAGGGAGGAAGAGAGAGGGAGGAAGAGAGAGGGAGGAAGAGAGAGGGAGGAAGGGAGAGGGAGAAAGAGAGATCGATGGAGGGATGGATGGAGGGATAGATTTATACAGAGGAGTTTGTCTAAGAACAAAATGTCATACATGACTTCTATGAAGAAATACAGTATAAGGGCATTTAATGCTTCCTGTAGAACAAAGCTTTAGGATCTTTATTCAAAGTGATTTAGGTTTTTGTTGAATAAAGGGAATAGCATTACATGCAGTATGTTTTAAGTTTCACAAAGGACATTTTAAATCTTTTTTTAAAAATATCCATGTACATTTTTTTTATTTGCTTTACAAATCAGCATTTTTTTTTTCACTTTGAACCCATGACATTGGATCCATAGAGCTTTATTGATATGTCATACAGGGAACACAGCTGAAGCTGCTTACCTTCAGACTCTTTCTTATTAAAACTCCAGATGGCTCTGTGTGATCCAGACAGGCGAGGAGGAGGGTGGGACCTTATGGTTGGAAAAATCATGCACAAAATATAATTTTCAGCCCTGAATATGAATAAGAATAGCGTGCCAGAACACTGTACATTTCCTATAACAAAATTGTATGCACTTAAAAAAATTCAGTTACATTTATTAATTTATTTATTTTGGCTGAATTTTTTTTTGTCTTATTTTGTATGTAAAACAACTGAAAAATCCCCAAAATTGTTAAATTTGCACGTATTTTTAAGTAAAGAAAAAAGATGCAACATCTATAGAAGAACACTCACACCTGTAAAGAAAATTATTGTGTAACTTCAGGGGGTGGCCTACTGTCCTTTATCGGTCCTTTATAGCCTAAAATGGCCGATAAAGGACAGCAGGCCGCCCCCTAAAGTTACAAAATCATTTTCTGTACAGGTGCGAGTGCTCTTCCATAGATGTTTGTCAATAAGCTTAGAAGCCCTTTTATGTATCAGGAGCTTGCTTTGAAGGATTACTGGTTCTTTAACACACAGCTTATCCTCGACCTGGCTCAGTGACGCCAGCCCGCACAGCCGGCCCCTTAATGAAGGCGTCTTGCGGCAGCATCATTAAAGAGTAACTCGTACAAGTAGCAAGCTGGCAGTTAATTAAACATGGCATTTGATCACGACCTCTGTTTTTTTTCATCAAGGACATTATTAAAAGGCAGAGTACAGCGTGATTGATTATTATACTAGGAATCATTACTCAAATAATGGATGAAGAACGAGGACACGAGTGCAGACCATGCAGACGTTTAACCATCCTTGTACGGTCCAGATGCCGTTCATACAAGCCGACGAGGCCGATTAATTACTCTTGATTCCACGGCCCTGTCATTATTTAAATATGCTAACGAATAATCGGCCCTGATGGCAAATCTTTAGAGCACACGTTTTTGTTTATTTGCTTTGTTTTAAAGAATAAAGAGCATCTTTGTGGTTAAAATAATCTGTTTGTACATCTAAAGATGTCAGTGATGCTACCATAAAACTCATTTATATACAGCACATGTCTTCGTGAGGTGTCTAAAAGCATGTGCAAAAGAAGATTGGGGAGAAAGGCGGCTGTATTGTTTTCTGGTGTTCTATATATAGAAAAAAATTAAGGATTTCTGCCCGTCCCTAAGCCACCTACTACACTTGTCAGAGAGAGATTAGTGTAGAAGCTGGCTTGTGTTTTTTGATTGACAGGACTCCTCTCCAGCCACCAACATTCACAACAACACAAGCTGACAGTTACATCTCTGTATCCCCTGAATAGATCCGGGCTCTTGTTACTTCAAAGAAGCCGGCAGAGGAGATCAGAGAAGGCAAAGAGAATGTTCCATTTGGCAGCTTACAGAGGAGGAAGGGGTTGTTCAACCTTTGTGTGTACTGCCTGTAACTCCCCTTCTCATCTGTGAAGTTGGTCTGTAATGCCATCTTCTTTGTCCAGTGATGTCGGGTAGCGGTGGTGGGAAGGGAGTTGGCGAGTTTTCCATCACGCTGCTCGGCAACCCCTGCACAGATATAAATAGGACCAAGTGTGATGTGCACTGGGTCCCATTGGGGGGTTTAACAAGTCTCCATTTTCTGGTGAGACTTTTTCTTTATAGATCACACAGAGAGAGACTCCAACCAAGCATGTAGATGTTTTGTTCTATGTGTATATAACGCCCAGCTTCTTGATTGCCTGGGAAGCCGGCTCCATGCTGGTTGGCCGGCTTGATGCTGATTGGCCGGGAAGCCAACTTCCCAGCCAATCAGCATGGAGCCGGCTTCCCGGACAATCAGGAAGCCGGGCGGCGAGTCATTACCCAAGTGGAAGAAGGGGAGAAGTGGAAGGGCACCCTTAGCCTCAAGGAACGTGCCTTCACTTTAAACATGATGTTTTTCACTTGTGCTGATTACCTGATGTTCGCATTCAGTAAGTCTGATCCCAAACTACCAGATGCTCAGTGTTGTCTTCTTCTCGCACCTAGATGTGAACAGCTGGCTCCTGACCTTCGGCTTCCAGCTTCACAATGTCATTCCTGGTTACCCCAGACCAGAGATCGATGCCATGGAACCGTCTTATGAACTAAGGAACACTCAGATGAAGACCCAGGAATGGGATAACAGCAAGGTAATGTGGGCTGCTTTGTCTTCTCCCTAATGGTAACAGACAGGTTCTAGCCTGCTCCTAATCTATGTAGATTTGAAACATAGAAGACTGGGATCAAGAAAAAAACATGGGGTCCATTGAGTCTGACCGATATTTTTTTGGGGGGTATTTCTTTTAACCTTTGTGTCAGAGTATAGATCTAAGTTTGTCCCAAGCATGTTTAAATTCACTGTGGACTGACTCACTACCTCTGCTGGACATCTGTTCCCAGCATCAACTACTGCTTCTGTAGAATAATGCTTTCTTAGGTTAGTTTGAACTTTCCTGCTTCTAGTTTGTTCTGTTCCCGTGTTCTTATTGATCTTCTTGGTCTTAGTTTCATATTGAAAATACTGCCCCCCTGAAACGTATTCATACCCTTCAATATCTTTTTGTAAGTGAGGTCTCCAGAATTGGACACAGCATTCTAAATGAGATCTAACTAAAGATCTGTATAGGGAAATCAGGACCCTCCTTTCTCCTGCTGGAGACCCCTCTAGTGATAACTAAATATCTATATAGAGGAATCAGGACCGCCTTCCTCCTGCTGGAGACCCCTCTAGTGATAACTAAATATCTATATAGAGGAATCAGGACCTCCTTCCTCCTGCTGGTGATCCCTCTAGTGATAATAAAGATCTATATAGAGGAATCAGGACCTCCTTCCTCCTGCTGGGGATCCCTCTAGTGATAATAAAGATCTATATAGAGGGATCAGGACCTCCTTCCTCCTGCTGGTTATCACTCTAGTGATAAATAAAGACTATATAGAGGAATCAGGACCTCCTTCCTCCTGCTGGGGACCCTCTGGTGATAATAAAGATCTATATAGAGGAATCAGGACCTCCTTCCTCCTGCTGGGGATCCCTCTAGTGATAATAAAGATCTATATAGAGGAATCGGGACCTCCTTCCTCCTGCTGGAGATCCCTCTAGTGATAAATAAAGATCTATATAGAGGAATCAGGACCTCCTTCCTCCTGCTGGGGACCCTCTGGTGATAATAAAGATCTATATAGAGGGATCAGGACCTCCTTCCTCCTGCTGGGGATCCCTCTAGTGATCGATCTATATAGAGGAATCAGGACCTCCTTCCTCCTGCTGGTGATCTTTCTAGTGATAAATACAGATCTACATAGGGGAATAAGAACCATCAGAGTGAGTGTTGTGTCATCTCTGAGCCAGCATCCCAGTCCAGGAAGTAGATACTGGCCCTGGATAATGCCTGAATAAAGATGGCACTGTCTGGGGAAAAAAAACTAATGAACACGTTGTTGGGGGGAGCACTGTGATCTCTGTGATGGGTAATAAATACCTGGAAGTGTTGCACTGACACATTATTTAACATGCATGCAATCACCATAAACGAATATATCTGATGCTAGGTCCACTTTAAAAGTTCCAGCCCCCGGTATCGAGCAAGCCTGTGACACAGGAGACCCCACTGCCCTACATACGCTTTCCATCCTGTACTATTACATTGGTCTCCGAGGTCTCTAGTTAAAAACACTTTCCTCTGTGAGAATTCACACCCTGAGCCCGTATCGACTCCTAATGGATTTTTACACTTTTAAGTGGTAACAGCTAAATGACTTCTTAATTTGTTATGCAATCAATTATGTATGGCTAAAGGCTTCCATTAGTCAAAGGCAGCGTCAAAACCCGACAAACGTAGTAAGGGTTCATTTCCAAGCCGCACTTTACTCTGGCGTTTCCACTCTGCGTTACATTTTTTAAAAAGGCGAGTGTCCGGCTACTTATAACGAGATTAATATTAATATTTTTTTTCACTGTGTGCCACGTCCGAGCTGCAGGTTTTTAGCATACTTTAATGTGCTCGCCGGTTTAAAACAAAAATAAAAAAGTCCAGGAAGGGTTTTAGAACAAAATCTGCGGAAGTTGGTTGCTTTAAAGACTTTTTACTGTACCCCCTCTATTCCTGACCTTTGACCTCTCTGTGCAGAAACAAAACATAAAAAGAGAAATCCTTTTCTTCAAAACTCTGAAAGTGGCTCCTCCAATCTGTTTGAAAAATTTCACACTCCGCTTTGACAGGTTTGGCGCTGAAAACTGGACAGATCAATCACTTTTAAAGGCTCTAGTTTCAATGGATGGAAAACAGAAGTGGCCCGGTATTTGGGTACCCTTGTGACCGGCCCACCCACAGAGACCGGCACAAACATGGCACTGTTCTGCTGGTCTGCGGGCTTAGATGTCCTATGCAGTTAGTTATTTTTGATGGCCGGCAATACCCATTTCATTTAATTCTTTATTTTGAGCCAACATTTTACAGTAAACATATAACACATATACAATCGAGTAATGATGTCGTACAGGTACAAACGTAAGAAGCATATCTATATCTTCTAGCCCCAGTCGCTTAATTAGCCAAGGATCAAACATGAACAGCATAATATCGTATGCAACATCTGGGCGTTTGGGGTGATTGCAATGCATATCTTGTATGTCTTAGTGTGTAATAAGCAATAGTTTCGATAGGCAGAGGTGGGTAAACCAAGGGGTCCACCTGTCTGCTTCCGGGGACTGAGGGAATGGGGTAGGACATCAAACAACATCAGGACAGAAGAGGGAAGAAGGAGGAGGGATACAAACGAGAGGAAGGGAGGGCAGTACCAGCAAGCAAGTGTGTAAGAGAAGGTATAGGTCACTGGGACGTGGTAGAGCTTGCCAAGAGGGTCACTCACGGGGCGCTCCCTAGTGAGCCATTTAAAGGAGAGAGATCGTACAGAGTATGCTCGGCCCTCAGGGGAATCCATGTACTCCAGCCAGTAAAATCACGTCCTAGAGTAACGTTCCTGCCTGCCTTGAGAGGACAGACTCATGTCTTCCATTACCCTAATCTCCTCCACCCTTCGTATCCACATAGGTATTGTAGGGGAAGAGGGATTCTTCCTCAGTCATGTTTAATAGAAGAAAGGTTAGATGTTTTTCAGAATATATCCAGTATGTTGATCAAGAATCGACCTTTTGAGGTCAGAAAGGGTTTTCCCTTTTAGGGCAAATTGGCCCATTTGACTAAGGCAGTGATTGTCAACTTAAAGAGGAACTTCACCTACCTCCCCCCATCCCGTGTTTTTATTTTAATTCCCCCTTAAACATTTTTAGCTGGGTTAGCTGGAATAAACATACTCACCTGCCCGGCAAATCCAGCATTGTATTCTCTGGTAATCCACCACTCCACTGCCACATGCCTGATCCAACACCGCCATCTTTTTTCCTTTTATTCATCGCCAGGCCCACCTTCCTCCATCAGCAGTGTAGAAGCTAATATACCTCCTGGGGTGTCTGATGTTCATATCTCAGAAGGCTTTAGTAGGAGAGTAATTCCCTCCTAGGTTAAAATGTGGGACAGAGGTGTGCTGGAGAATCTTTTTTCTTTAAAAAGGATTCTGGTGGACCAGCTCACTGATGTCACTGGTTGCCAGGGTGGAATGCCGGCCAGAGCATCCCAGGGTGCTAAAACCTTTAGCAACTTGGACCACCTAGCCAAAAAGAAGGACATAAGGCATACTGCCCCCCAGTGACCCAAAGAGATGCCACCTGTGGCAATAGCCTTAGCCTACCTCATTATAGGGGCAGACCTGATCACTATATGAAATGCTACAGAAGACTAAAGACTTACCAGAGAAACTGGGGAATTTTACATGGCACTCATGGAAATCACTACTAATACAGCCCCCTTCTAAGTCAGTGTCCCCACTATTGACTGCTGTGATCTAATAGCCACATTGCAAACCCCAAAGTGTCACATGTAACCCTCGGGCCCCAGGTTGGGTACCAGGACTTCAAAGCTAAACTCCAGGCCCAAAAACTTTCATTTAATACATTCCTTTTTAGCCTCAGAGGATATAAATCCACATTGTATGCACCAAATGCCTTTTCAAGCCCAAATATTATCTTGTGAAAGCAGCAGTGACATCATCACTGTGCTGCACATAGCCTGTGCAGGGAGCAGAGCTGTGGGAGGGATGAAGCAGGCCCTACCCACTACAGGGAACTACAGGAGGGGGGCGGAGACAAGACCAGTCACCTGCACTAGGAAAGAGAGCAGCAGTGACCGTTCTTTATTACAGGAGGGGGTGGAGACAAGACCAGTCACCCTGCACAAGGAGAGAGAGAGAAGCAGTGACCGGTCTTTATTACAGGAGGGGGCGGAGACAAGACCAGTCACCCTGCACAAGGAGAGAGAGCAGCAGTGACCGGTCTTTATTACAGGAGGGGGCAGAGACAAGACCAGTCACCCTGCACAAGGAGAGAGCAGCAGTGACCGTTCTTTACTATAACAGGGGGCGGAGACAAGACCAGTCACCCTGCACAACTTGAGAGAGCAGCAGTGACCGGTCTTTATCACAGGAAGCTCCAAGTCTTTATTGGTAAACTTGTTACATTTTAATCGTTGTCGATTTTTAATAATGCAGCTGTTTGAAAGTTGTTTTTTTTTTTTTTTTTTAAATGAACATTTCTGGAATTTTCTTTCTGTGACCTGACTGTTATTGGTTAATAGGCCGTGTGAAAGCTTATTTCAGCGTGCACTTTTTCAGTTTAACTCGTTTTGTGACAACTTGTCATTTTTGGCAGCAATTTTAACATTTGTTACAGTATTTAGACTTCAAACTAGTTTCAAAAAATATCCTCTCTGAAAATAACGGCTGGCGCCAAGTTTTTGATGTTAATGCAACTTAAATGGTTTTCGTCATGAAACATGAGAGACAAATAGCACATTAGTCCTTGAAAATAGAGCAAAAGTAGACAAATCCTGAAAATTGCAAAATTGCCTCGCCAGTGACAGGAAAAATGCAGCATGGAGGTTTTATAAACACGCGGCACGTTTACATGAGAAGCCGCAAAGTAGGCCACCTTGAAGCCCGACTCCAGGGTAACTTTTCTTTTTCTAAAAAGACCCCCTAGGCCAGTGGTGGCGAACCTTGGCACTTCAGCTGTGCCAAAACTACAAATCCCAACATGCATCTGCCTCTGGGAGTTATGTCTGTGGCTGTCAGAGCCTTGCAATGCCTCATGGGACTTGTAGTTCCAAAACAGCTGGAGGGCCAATGTTCGCCACCACTGCCCTAGGCTGTAATACTCCCCTCCTCCCTGCAGTACTTCCTTTCTGCCACTAGGTGTCCTCAGTCTATTGGCTTGAATGGTGCCCAGCATAATTCCACCCTGAAGACTGAGGACATACTGTGACTGCATGGCATACCCTCAGGTGGGAGTGGGGGGAGGGGGGGGCGGCAAGGCATAACTGCTAGGAACTACCAACACTGGCATCACCAATTTTTTTCTACTTTTAATGGTGGACTATGTCAATCATTTTTCAATACCACCTGGTGCATAACCGGTGCCCCTTGTCCAGACCTTGACCTCTAGCAGTAGGTAGCAGGAACATTGATTTATGAAGGGGCTGTAATGACAGTGATCTCTAGCATGCTCCTGTAATATCTCCAGACTCATACAACATGTCTCCAGTCTCTAGCCACACCAGTCGCCCATCCAAAGACTCTGATGATATCCTGTGGTATGCTTCCAGTCTCTGGCAATCTTTTGGAGCCCTTCATATAATGAATATAATATGCAGCCCCTTGCTGGTGTCAGGGGACTCATTTGAGCCTTCCATACCTCGTAGGTTGGCCAACACTGCTGTAGACCCTTGTGCTCAACTGTACACGGAGATCCTCATAAAACTAATAAAGCCAAAAATATAGAGCCTTTTAATCCAACTTTTTCAGGCTTGTTGACCTTCATCAGTGCAATTTACAGAAACAGTGGCCTCTATAGAGTATGTCATAGGGAGCAATGAGACGGACACATTGTAGCTTTATTCCTTTTATAACACCGAGAAAGGAATGCTTCCTGTTTTTTTTCCTTTTGAGGAAGCCATCCATAGCCGATGCATCACCATTTAAAGGGATTAAGCCAACCCAAAGTGATATTTCATTTATAGAGTAGGTGCTGGGAGTCATCTACATGCTCCCTATATCTGACAAGTGTTCCAGGTGCCTTCACAGCTTTCTCTCCTTCTGCTGTATTCCACATTGTATACAATTATAGATCCTCTGCACAGCTCCAGTATCCTGCTCTCCTATTAGTCTGAAGTTCTTTTTTAATCATTATGGCCCTGGTGCAGCTTAACTTCGAGGCATCTCAAAACACGTCTCACCTCTTCCTGAAGCTTCTGATGGCGTTTCGACTTCCCAGTGCCGGCGTATTTCAAAGTCTCCCTCCTGTATGCCATAGTTGAGCTCTCAAGATAAATTCTGGTGTCCCTGACATTTGCAGGTATTCGGTGTAGGATTGCTTTCTGATTAATCTGATCTCCTCGGGGGAAATATTTTCACGGCACTTTGAGAGTTTAAAGTAGAAGTAATCCCTGCATACTGTCACCAGAAAAAGATGGTACCTACACAGCCAGCACTATGAGGGAGCATGAGGCTGTTGACTCAGGTGGCATCTCTTTGGGTCAAGTAGGGGGGCGGCAAGCAAAGCGGCATGGCGGCTCAATGTTTGCAGTTGTCTGTTGTCCCTTTTCTGCCCAGAGCTTCTCAGGTTGCCAAGAGCCGGGTGGGGACCATACACATCTCCCAGCCCAACTCCAAGCAACCAGTGACGCTCTGGCCAGCATCCCACTTAGTTCCTAGCAACCAGGGACGTCAGTGAGCTGCGCAGGAAGCCATTGAGATCCATCCCCACACCAACCCCCACAAGCGTTCACCACAAGCACCCCATCCTCCAGTTATTGGTAACCCTCAAGGGCCAGAGTAGAGGAACTTTATATTAAACTGATGGAGATAAATAGATATTGTATGCTCCTTAGAATCTCTTCTAAGGTTCACTTGGGTTTCCTAATCAGGTTGTTCTTTTTTCCCGCAGTCAATCCTGGGCGTGCAGTGCGAGGTCCAGAAGCAACTGAAGGCCTTTGTCACTTTGGAGCGGTTCGGTCCCGTCTACACCTCCCCCATCGCTGGCTGCCACCAAGAGAAGGAGAACAAGAAGTTTGCCACATTCGGTTCCATCTTCGGCAAGGGTGTAAAGTTTGCAATGAAAGATGGCCGCGTCACCACCGACATCATCATCATCGCCAACGAAGACGGGAGACGGATCGCCGCCATCCTAAACAACGCCCAGTATTTGGAGAATTTACATTTCACCATCGACGAGGTCGACACTCATTACTTTGTCAAGCAGGGCCCCTCCGACAACGACCTGTCCATATTGGGACTCAACGGCGGCAGGAGAACCTTGGAAAACGGGGTCAACGTCACCGTGTCGCAAATCAATACAATTCTCGGAACAAGGACCAAACGCTACACGGACGTACAGTTACAATACGGCACCCTGTGCATCAACACCCGCTACGGGACCTCCTTGGACGAGGAGAAGGTCCGCGTGTTGGAACTGGCCCGTCAAAGGGCCATTTCGCAAGCTTGGCTCAAAGAGCAACAAAGACTTCGCGACGGGGAGGAAGGCCTGCGAGCGTGGACTGAGGGCGAAAAGCAGCAGTTATTAAGCACCGGTCGGGTGCAGGGCTACGACGGCTATTATGTCATATCCGTCGAGCAGTACCCCGAACTCTCGGACAGCGCAAACAACATCCACTTTATGAGACAGAGCGAAATGGGCAGAAGGTGACAAAGACAATAAATGAAAACAAAAAAATTGACTTCTTGCCAAAGACAGCTGCTGTGGTGGCCGCCTTCCCGAACTGTGTTGAAATGACCCTTTTTTTAATTTTTTTTTTTAAGAAGACATTTGACCCGAAAACGGTCACAAGGTTGAACCTCTAAACGTTGCAATTTTTTTTTTTTGGGTTGTTTTTATTTTACTTTGCTTTTTTTTATTTGGCCTTCACACGTTTCGGAAACGAGCAGATGGTATTTTGCTATCGTGTGATCACAGTGAACTCGACTGTCTTTTTGTTTTTATTTTCCCTCCAGTGGCGGATCCTAGTGAGGAGAGTCAAAAATATAACGTCAACAGGTACTTTTGAGGGAAATAAAAACATTTTAAAAAATGGAGAGATAAAAAAAAAAACAAATACAGATATCTCTTGAAAAGTTGCGTCATCTAAGATCTTTTTTTTTCCTGACAGGATGGAGGTCAACGCCTTGTATTTTTTTTTTTTGGAAGAGGAAGAAGAACTTCTGAAAGTCTGAAAAATAAAAAACAAAAAACTATTCAGCTCTGTGTCTAAGAACTGAATTTTGCCTTGATTTTAACCAAAACGGTTCATATCATTTACTTTGTCTCATGATACAGTATGTGGGAGGAAGGCGTCTATGTCCCCTTGTCTTGGCTGTGTTAACATTTCAATTTCAATCAATAGTATTC